CCATCATATGGATATTAACTGTATAAGTGTCTCAACCTGGTAACACAAGCTTTTTGCAGGCTGTACTGCAACAGACAATACACACACGCACATTGACAGACATACACCGTCTTACATTTTTGATATTCACTGTAGGAACCGCATTTAAGGCTATTTAATTTATTTCTATTCACAGGACATATTAATTGTTTAGGATGAATTATTGATTAGAAACAATGAATTTTATATGTTGCAGTATGTGTGCGCCCTCCTCCCTCCTCAGGTGGTGAGGGCGGGGCTTAACCTTTAAGTTTTGAAGGTTGAGGTGAGACGAGGGATTGGCAGCCAGAAGCAGCGATACTGTCATTGACCGCAGCAACATCAAGATCAGTGGATATGGATAATAGATATTTTGATTTACTTTTTTGTTTTTCATGTTGACAATAAATTCAGTTCATCTCAGAACAACATGGGTCACTGGATCTTTTGTGACTGCGCGTCAAACACCCTGCTCCAACCACCAAGTTAAAAGATAAATAGGACAAGTTAAAGGACAGACTCAACTGGAGGTTTTTTGTCCACTACATTCACCTTCAAAATAAGAGTCTCAACCAGGTAAAAAGAACTTACTGGATGTTCTGTTGGGCAGCTCTACACACACACACACACACACACATATATCGAGCACACACACACACACACACACACACACACACATATATCGACAGAAACACACAAACATCATCTGCACGAATCGGATTAACCTTCAAAATAAAAGTCTCAACATGGTAAGAGGGAATTATTGGCTCTGTTGTACAAAACATTATGCAATTTATACTGCCAAACACAGAAGCACAGACACTTTCAAAATAAGAGTTTCAAAAGATAGGGTATATACATGTCTTGCTATGGTTGTGGGGACAAATTTGGGTTTGAAACTATCATTGTGAGGTTATTTTGGCCAGTTCTGACAGCTTCAAAATGTTTTTTGAGGGACACCTGCAGTGACTGAGGTCAGTGTCAGGATAAGTCTCTAAGACATGAATGAAACTGAAAGTAATGTCCTTTGTACAGAATGAAACTAGAGGAATGAAGTACACGCACCAAGCAGCAGGCACATTCAGAATTTATCCAGGAATTTTCTACTTATTATTATTATTTACTAGTATTATTGATAACAATATAGTTTTTGTATGAATATTTCCACTATAACAATTAACAATTAAACGCAGATACTATAACAGCATTACCTATGGCTATAACTGTTATTATTTTAACTGTTGCAATTAACAATCAACACAATTTTGATAAAAATTTCCAGGGACCCAGAAAGTTAAATTTATGCTTTCTGCCTCTTATTTCCCCTCTAGTTCATGGCATACAGCTGTTCATGGTCTCTCTCTCTCCTCCCCCACCCCCTCTTTCTCCTCTCAAACCCAACCGGTCAAGGCAGATGGCTGCCCACCCTGAGCCTGGTTCTTTTGGAGGGTTCTTCCTTTTAAAAGGGAGTTTTCCTCCACCCTGTCACCAAGTGCTTGCTCTTTGTGGGAACTGTTGGGTTTCTCTCTAATAATATAGTAAGGTCTTGACCTTACCCTGTAAAGTGCTGTGAGATACTGTATATTATGATTTGGTGCTATACAAATTGAATTGAATTGAATTGTCACTGAAAGGCAGGAAATATCAATCTAAATGACATTTTCTATGCACTTCAAAAATGACATTTTCTATGCAAATGAATAATATAAATGTTAGCAAACAGTTGCTTATTTCCGCATCCAGCAGAGAGTGAGAAAAATAATAATTTATTCAGAATCATGTTTCTCGATACCTCAGACTCCAACATTTATTCTCCTTTTAGCTTTGCTTTCGTCTGCACTAACTCCTGAAGAAATATCTGGCTAGCAGTTAAATGCTGATTACATTCAATAGATAGTTGCTAACTTCGTCGGTCAACTGTATGATGCTAGGCAGGTGGTGCACAATGGGTTAAGGATGTTTTCCTAAAGATAGCTGCTAATACTACTAGAAATAAGGTTGAATCCAAACAGTAAAGTTGCACCCTGTAAAACAAAAACAATGTGCTGAAAGAAGCTAAAATTCTACACAGAGATGAAAGGAACTGCAGTCAGGTGACTATTCTCTGTGGGTTCCTCACTACAAGCAGTCTTTGTAACAGTCATTTTTTTCCATTAGTTGCACACTTGAATTAAAATGAATTAAAACCTGTGTGGCTTTCGAGTTTATCGTTTACTGGAACAGCCTGCAAAATATAGACATAGTACATTGTTACACGTTTTGTATACAGTCTTTTGTTTTTTGCTCGGCACACTGCATTACAATGAGTTATTGCCTTCATGCAAACTCAAAACAACAAACAACGTCAAAAATATTACTGTGACTCCTGTCTAGTATCATTGTGATAACAGTTGGGCACAAGTATAAAAACACCTAAACGCAACACCATGAGGTCTCTACATGGACCGGTAAATTAGCTTTAGCTGCTAACAATTAGCTTCATGGCTAATCTACACAGATAACAATAAATACACCATAAACATACACAATGGGGATGAACGGTCAATTTTCCCACATTCTCTACAACCCTGCGGACTTAATACTACAACAGTGTCAAGTTATTAGCTGTTTTATACTTGCTTACCTGCAAAATATAGACATAGTACATTGTTAGATGTTTTGTATACAGTCTTTTGTTTTTCGCTTTGGCGCACTGCATTATGAGTGGCCTGGCCGTGTTTACCCCTGCTAGGGGATACTCCCTCTAGTGGTGTAACAGAGGAACAACTTCTCTTAAAGAACTATGTCTTCCTATGTGAGACTGGAGCGTCTTGTGACAACTACAGAAAACAAGATATTTTGATAACCCGAACATTATAATGAAATAAAGTATTATAATGAAATAAAATATTATTGGGTGGCTTATTTTCCTCCATATAACCATCTTCTTTCCATTACACATTGTCAATATTGAGTATTGCAGCTTTAAAGCCTTTGATCTCAATTTCCAGGGACCCAGAAAGTTAAACGTATGCTTCATGTCTCTTATTTCCCCTCTAGTTGCTTATTCTCCCAGTATTCCATTGTGAGCTTGTGTGGAGGCTTACTCTAAACATGTGTTCACTAATAGTTGCTAACATAGTTTGAACCACAAAATCCCAGCTTACTGTTCCCCTGAAGCTCTATTGTGAACTGTGGTGGATTTCTACTGATTAAAAGTGAGCTGAGTTTGAAGATTGCACCTTTAAGTGAACAAAAAAATAAGAAGGAAGTGCAGTTCCCTATTGTTGTCATCAGGGGGCAGTGTGTACCTGATGACGCAGAGAAAAGCAGCTGTGGATTTATGGCAGTGATAAAATGATGAGAGCTCTTTGTGGAGGTAAAATGTAATTAAAGAGGAGAAATACATGAGCTGCTTCAAAATCCTCATTTCTTTTTTTCACAGATGGACCCAATAATGATAAATGTGTTGATAAAACACAATCCAACCACTTCCGTATTATTGGATTTTCAAAATATGAAATGTATAAAGCTGTCACAGAAAACCTTGTGGAAACTGAGGTTTTTATGAACACTTCAGGATAGTGGTGATAATTAGTACAAGGAATTAGATCCACTAAGAAAACTATAGAATCTATAAGAATTGTTTCTTGTTAAAGATGTATAAGCAATGTTAAAAACTAAGAGAATACGACTAAATGATCTCTCTAAATGCCAGCCTATACTGACACCTGGAGACACCACCAACACCTTGTATTTTTTGTACTAATGTAACTGTCCTCAGGAATGTGTGTGTGTGTGTGTGTGTGTGTGTGTGTGTGTGTGTGTGTGTGTGTGTGTGTGTGTGTGTAAAATGCAAACGTTGAATGCAAGAGAAGAAATGCCTGGTGGGCTCTCACTCACCTCCACACCACTATAGGCTTGTTCCTACTGAAGAGTGAAAATGAACATAAACTATTAGTAGCCCCTCACCACTCGCTGAATTGATTATTAGCCATGTACATGCTCATGTCTGTCAGAACTATAAATATCATGATGAGGATAACTGCAAGGTCCTTCTGTTTCAATACAACATGCTTCTCAATGTCTCTTAATCTTACTATTAGCAATAATTAGCTGCAGAAACAATGATGATCGGAACATCATTGCTGCTGCCAAATTTCAATCATCAAGCATTACTTAAGTCAGATTCTTTATCTGGAGTCCATATATCGATACAAAAATGTATTCAATCCAATGGTATTTCAGTTTGGAACCAAGTGGTGGAATGACTGACTCTCATTTCCATCTCTACTAAAGCTACATGGCTCCCATGGCTGAGGTAATGAAATTTGTGTTAAAATATTTTTTTTTTTACAACATATGATCTGAGTTTAAAAATACATATTTTCGAAGACTTCAAAGGCATCTGTTTTTACAGCTCACCTTCTCTGCATAAATGCAAAGGCCAAGATACAGACATAAGGTGAACTGAGTTACAGCAATGTGGATTATCATGTGCAGTTAATTAAAGCAGTTGTCACAAACTGTTCCAAAATAAACAACATAAAAGAGGCAGGTTTTCGAGTAATGACTGCATATCAATGCAGCACTGACTTTATTCTCAAACACATTATTAGAATCTAAAAATAAAAAAATCTTCATGGTCGTTGATGCCCAGAGTCCTTTCATCTGCCAAAAAACACAGTAATACAAAGGACATAGAGAGCAAGAGATATGTCTCTCATCATCATCATCATCATCATCATTATCATCAACGACACTAAAACAAAACTTGAACTGATTAAAAAAACAACATTAAAACATAGACAACCCACCAATAGTTATAGTTTCTTAAATAGCTTCTCAACACAGAGAAACAGAGACAAAAGAGACCATGCAACCCAATCCATCACTCTCTCATTAACACTTCACACACTCACACACAGTTTGGATCCAAATTATTATTATTATCAACAGACATATGCCAGGAGGAGGAGCTGTCATTCTACAAAGGAGTATTTGTGTTTCTTTTTATTTAACAAAGAATTGTTTGATATTTCATTATTTCAAGGATTAAAATACATTTGTATCCTGCAGATCTGAGCCTCACTGTGAGATAACAATCAGAGTTCTTTAATCATACACAATTATTCAGCCAGTGCACAGTCAAACAGGCTTTCTTTAGCTGAATAAGGCAGTGTGAATACACTTATTATCACAGTCAGAATCATCATGTTTGTTTTCTCTACACAAACTGTGTTGTACCTAAGTCAGTGCTGCATCAAATCAAAGGCTTCGTTTCATATAATTTGGGGAAACATTTTGTGAGGATCTGTTGTATTTGGTTTTTAACCCTTCGTTTGTGTGATGTGAACCTCTGACTTTGGTTGGAGAAGGATATAGTAATTATGAGGTCAAAGAGAAATAAACAGTTTTATGTTACAGGAATTTACACCTGCTCTTCAGAGCCTTTTTGGAAATTATTGTAAACACCATTTTTACTAAATGCGAAACTTGATATGAATTTTTCAGGGCTTTCTGGAAATTCGACAGAATTTGGGGTACATACATCTTTTAGCATGGTTCACAGCACAGTGCCTGCCCACCGCTCCTCGCTGGTGTAAACATTTTCAATTTAAATTAAATTATAGTAAATGATCAGGAGAAAAAGATAAAACCAGTAATAGATGTAATAGCACTGTCCTGTTGTCCCTCAGAGGACACACAGGAGAGTGTTAGTGCACATAATATTCCATCTTTCAGCTGCTTAGCATTTTGTTTGTTTGGAGTTGTTGAACTCAGGTTTAGTTCAGGTTTAGGTGGTCTCTTGGTTGGTGGAGTCCTCCTTGGGTTAAGGTTGGACTAAACTGGCCTATTTTCGTGTAGAGGTGAGGCTGGAGGTTTCCATGATGTGGCAGTTCAAGGCCCTGGTTGAGATTTGTCCTGAGATTAGCTCAGATACAGAGATTTGTCTCTCTGAACACCTCTGGAAGAGGAGAGGAGAAACAAAAAGTGAGGATGGAAAAACAATCGGTAATCAGTACAGTGGATATTTACTGTCCCATTGTTTTAATACATGGGTCTGAGATGAATGTTGAGATGAAGGGTGATACCTCTTGCAGCTTGCACAGCACACAGTAGGCTTGGTAAATACTGCACTAACAGTATTAGTACACTAACAGTATCAGCTAGTTAGTATCAGTTAGTATCAGCTAACAGTATCAACTAAGAGTATCAGCTAGTTACTGAGACACATTTTGACCAATTTCCACACAATCAAGGTTAAAGCTAAAGATGGGGTCTGAGTGCCCTGGTGGCATTTACAACATACCTAACACAAAATCATACATATTTTGTAAGAAACAAATGTTTTATTTGCTGACAAGCCAATGTAAACTTGAATTAAATCCAATTATACAACAGTTAGTTCCGATCAAGTAATTTGATTGGACGAGAGCTATTCCAGGAGTGCTGATATAGAGCACAGCAGCACTGGGACTTTTAACTACATGTATCACTCCATTTTACAGGTGTTGTATTAACTGTTAATTACATTACACTAACGGTCATTATCGTTATGTTAGATTGTAACAGACTATGTAGATGATGATGAAGAAGATGAAAATTTTTTCATAAATAACATTTGAATAATAGCTGCAAGCAGCATTGATTGGGTCTTTGCACTCCTTCACACCCTGACTCACAGGTTAATATTTATTGGACAGACTGTGTGGCAGCAGAAAAGATGTATAGCATTTTTATTTGCATTCTTTATTGTGACCACTAGGTGGAGCAAGAGACCACATAATAGGCACACATGAGGCTCTGTATCAAACCTTACAATGAAAATGTCATGTAAATTAAATGATTGTCACACAAGAGTTAATTCCTGTTTCAGGAGGTGGTGCTGTGACTATGACTTAATATTACTATGCAGCTGTCTACAGTGTGAGACTGTCATCAAACATATGAAATTTGGGAAGGACTGGACAATACACAATAGATTTAAACTTACTGAAGATAATGTATGTTTGCTGTCATTCTTAATTAGGTCCACCAGGTGGAGCCAGAGATCCCGCAAGAGGCACACACAAGGCTCTGTATCAGACCACACAATGAAAATGTAATGTCACTCACATAAGAGTTATGTCATACTTTCAGTAGGTGGCGCTGTGACTATGGTGTAATATTCATATGCAGATGTCTTCAGTATGAGACTGTAATGAAACATGTGAAATTTGGGGTAGATTAGACAAAGTATAATAGAGTTATAACCACTTCCTGTTTCAGAATTCAGCGCACTGCAGAAACCACACCCTTAAGTGAAAACTCACAATTTTCACAATCTTCCATCAGGAAAGATTTTGTGACAAAAGATTGAGGCACATCGGACTTTGTATAATGGATTTAGAGCTACTTTCTGTTGAGAATTTGCTGCGCCATTACAGCCACATCATGGTTCATATTTTCACAATAAAGCATCATCAGGTTGTAGAAAGTATTTTCTGACTCTTGTTTCAAGGGTCAGATTAACCTGCTAGGAAAAGTGAATGAAAAAGTAAAATATAATGTTACATGTGTCCATGAGGTGGCGCTATGAGTACTACTAAATATGAACATATAGATGTGTTCAGGCTGGGATTCCTCTCAAACATATAAAGTTTGAGGTAGTTTGGACAATGCATGCTGGAGTTATAGCGAGTTGGATCGAAGGATCGAAATTCACTGTGCCCCCACAGGCAGGCTGTTCCACAAAAACTCACAGGTTTTCACGACAAGGCATCATCAAAATCTTAAGAATTTCATGACCAAGTTTAAGGTGGATGTGGTTAACCTTCTAGGAGCAGTATATCAAAGTGTAAACATGACATTTCCTGAATATGACATGACATTTCCTGTTGCAACAAGTTATCACTGAATCACTATGAGTATCACTGAATATGAGCATATGAATGTGTTTAAGGCAGGACTCTTATCACACACAGAAAGATTGGGGCAGTTTGGACAATTTGAGTTGGAATGAGAGCAAGTTGAATTTTCATGGCGAATCATAGAAATTTGCTGCGCCACCACAGGCAGGTCCTCCAACGAAAACTCAAAAGATTTACAATTTAATGTTGCAAAGGTCTTAAGATGAGTCTGACCAAAGATCATGTCGATCTTGAATTCCCCAGGAGGAGTTTGTTAAAGTATGTGACCCTTAAATCGCCAAAATGGTGCCAAAATTGCAAATTTAATTTAAAATGGCTGACTTCCTGTTGGGTTTAGAGTTTGGGTGCAAGAGGCTTTTTTGTAAGTCGTGGCTGATACATGTGCCTACCAATTTTCGTACTTGTAGGTCAAACTGCAGGTATAGGAAGGGCCTCGTTGAAATTTTGTAGGGGGCACTGTCAAGCCATATTGTCACGCCTATTAGTGCGACCCATACCAGATGTAAATTTTCACGAGGCCAGATGTGTGTGCAAAGTTTCATGACTTTTTGAGAATGGGAAAGGCCTCAAAGAAGGCAAAAAGTGCTCAGGCCCTAATAAACAGCGAGGTTTCAATAGGGTCCTTGAAAGCTTGGTGCTCAGGCCTTAATTAAATAATGTATGGTCGTCAGAAGAGGGTGAAGGGAAGAGGCCTGGATACTTCAGTGCACACCTCCAGGTGCACTCATATGATATCGATCTGGTCAGGAAAATGTTTATGTGTTGCTTAGCAACAGTCCAGTACCAGCCTCATTATTGCACCCACCCATATGCTTCACTAATCATGCATTGGCTTAAGTGAATCTCAGCTTTTGCCTCATTTATCAATTTTAAAGTAATAATGCATAGAAGATTTAAATTACAGGGTTTTTTGGCTTGCCTATCTAAAAGTTAATTTCAATACCAGGAATGTATTTCATAGCGTAAGACATGTTATGTAAATTTTATTAACCAATCTCTCCAGGATTTCGCTGGCTTTTTTTGGGATTATTGCTGGCTAAAATACCTGATTTCGCGGCAGCTTTCCTTAAAAGTTGCAATGAATGTTGTGATGTTTTTAGGTGTTTTTTTTTTCAATGAAACCGCAGGAGAAAATAAAAATTGTTGCCATCTTCTTTAATAATAATAATAATAATAATAATAATGATTAAAATTCAAAGGCAACTTGTACCAGTGAGATTTCTGCCTATGAAACAGTATAATCACGAGTGGAAGATGATTGAAAGAATTTTTTCTTTTAATCTTTACTGATCAACAATGTAATTCACTGAGTAGCTCACAGGCTATCAGCAGCTACCGGCATCTTTTAAGGTTTTCTTGAGTGTTGCTTGATGCGTGATTGATGTTTGGAAATCAATCAATATACCTTAAATGCCAATATGACAACTTTGACCATTTGTTTTTATCAGCTCTCTACATGACAGAATCTTTAGTGATGATCGGTGTTCAACCGCTTAAAATGTGAATAAATATCAACCGGATAATGTGAACTGTAGATATTTTATTTCATCTGGATAAAAAAAGTAGCAGAGCGTCATTACGATGGCTCCAGCAGCACTACACCTATGTTACAAAACAATTTAACCCCGTTTCCATCAAGACATGAGGAATTGCTTTACAGTCTTTAACAGTAATTTTTGTTCGAAAATGTGAGCCGTTCGTGTCACACATATCTGCAGCTTCACAGCATGCTTCAAAAGAAAGACGTGAGTTTGGCGATGTACATCAAAGTTTAGCAGAGGGAGTGGTGATTGGTGCAACTTGCAGGAAACTATGATGATTTTTGATCAGAAGGGTTGCGGTGATTGGACAAGAAAGGTTGCACAGAATTCACAGGGATTGGTTGAATTTGCTTTAATTATTGCGATCGCAACATTGCAACTTTCTGAAGGGACTGATTAACATATTTTGGACAATAGGCTAAAACGGTGTGTATTCATGTGTGTATTCCATTAATTCCAAACCATTTCCAGGCCTGGAAAACTGTTTTTCTAATTTCATAACTTTTCCAGGAATTTCATGACTGTGGGAACCCTGTGTATAAAAGCAATGTCACACTTGAGGTTGTGATATTGGTTGTGATTCAGTCCTAGGTACGAGGCAACAGGACCTACCCTGAATCACAGCCCTGCTGATATTCTGTACAACATAATTTCTGATATTGCTTAATTTAACAAGAACAGGACACTGGACTTCACTGTTCTAACCAAACAGACCTCAGATATTGTAAAGTTGTTGTAAAAATACCAAATATTGAAATCTACAATCTAGCGAGCCTTTGTTGGGCAATTTAACACTTTTAACTTGACACTCCCACTGCAGTAGTCCATCTCTTCCCTGTCTGAGCTAGTGCATTTCAGGCTACATTTCCTCCTCCTATCCACGCTACTCCGGAGTTTTGGAGCACCTAAAACGGACTTTCAGAAACTCTGCTGGCCCCGTTTTACTTTGAAAACTAGTACAAACATGGATAATGAAATGTTATTGACCTTGTTGTCTTTGCAAGCAGCTGCTGTTCAGTTAAATTCTGCATTTTTTTAATTATTTTTTTTTAGGCTTTTTGTGCCTTTATTGATAGTGCAGTAGAGAGAGACAGGAAATGGGGAGGCAGAGAGAGGGGGAATGACATGCAGCTAAGGGCTGTCCGATGCAGGACTCAAACCGGGGCCAACTGCAGCGAGGACTGTAGCCTCTACACATGGGGCGGATGCTCATCCAACTGAGCTACTTGACACCCCTAAATTCTGCATTTTAACACTGCAGCTGTCTTTGCTGTTCCTCATTCGTAGTATTTTGTGTGGCTAATCATGGCTAGTGTATGTGATTGGTCATGTATGTATGTGTGATAGTGTGGATGGAGATTGTTTTTGTTTGAAAATGAAAACGTAGTAGTGTGGACATAGCCTCAGTCGTTTTCAGATGTTTTAATGCTGAGATATAACGTCTATTTAAGTCTCATTTTAATGTCAGCTGTTAACTTGTTTTACTCAAAAGACCCAAAGTCTCTTTTCTACCGGCTGCAGTTCAAAGCAGTGACTGCAGTTGTATTCAGTGATGTTTCAAGTGATAACTTGCTGTTAGCTTCAGTGACAGAACAGGGGACATGGCAGGTTTTACTGTCCATTATGGATGCGGACCAGACAGGTTTGATTAAGGGTCGGAACTCTTATTATAACACAAGGCGCCTATTCAGTGTTATTCATTACCTTAACCTTTGTTACCGGGTGCTGTTATTTCTATGGGCGGGAAAAAGCATTCAATAGAATTGAATGGGAATATATGTTTGAAGTAATGAAGAAATTTGGATCATATTTTTCTTGGGTGGATTTAGCTCTTATATAAAGCACCTATGGCCTTGGTTTTGACAAACGGTCTGTTATCTGCTACGTTTAAATTGACGAATCTCAAAGACATTAAACATGATGGAGGAATCTCCCAATATCATTTCTTGGTAGAATTAACCTGATCAAGATGACAATCCTTCCAAAAATATTATATTCTACATCTATGTTTTTGTGGTTCTAAAGTCTAGTGATATTAACGATATTAATAAAGCAATGGCAGACTTTATTTGGGCCGGCAGGAAACCTAACGTGAAATTAGAGACATTACAGCTGCCAAAAGAACAAGGTGGGTGGAGCTTATCTAACATACAATACTACATATTGTCTATACAAGCCAGAATTATATCTTCCTGGGTGAACAAGCATTCAGATTCTGCTTGGTTCCACTTGGAGTCAGTTATATGTAAACCATTTTCTCCTGTGAACTTGCTGGATAAACAGTTAAAGGAATTGCGAAAAGAGCAGGCATTACTAGAGTCTACGATCTCTATGAGAACAGGAAATTTAAAGCATCTGAATCATTGAAGGCTCAGAACCACATATCAAATAAGTATTTTTGAAAATACCTACAGGTCACACGTTATGTATATAAGAAAGCCAACTAGCTGTAATTTCAAATTACTGACATCTGCTAAAGACATTTTTCCTGGACCATGGGGAGCTAAAATGTTTCATATCTAAATTTAATTCTAAGATACTAAGTTTGAGTGTGGACAGTCTTTCATGGCTACAAACGTCTTACTGTACACTGTTCAAATGTGTGATGGATAATGTGTGTGTGGGATGGGATCTTGCAGTTGCCTTAAAGATAAAGATATCTATAAAGATATAGTATCCTACATAACATCTATATATCATTGTATATTTACAGCAAGTATAAAGCAGAAATGTCATCAAGTTGTCCCAAATGTAAAACTCATGTTGGTACTAGGCTGTATTGTTTATGGGAATGCAATAAAATTCATTTATTCTGGAAGGCAGTTTGTGCAAACATCAGTATAGCAGTAGGTCAACGGGTGTCAGCAAATCCACTTCTATGTCTGTTTGGAGTTGTCCCTGACTCTTTTAAACAATATGAGGAAGTTGTTCAAGCTCTCTTAATGTTGGCCAGGAAAATCATCATGGTGAAGTGGGTTACGGACGAACCACCGTCTAACTCCATGTGGAAATCTCTGATCTCTGAGGTTGTGACTCCGGAAAAAATAGGACATTACATCGATGGAAGAACTGATCGTTTTCTGCAGAAATGGAATCCAATAAATTTTGGACTTAAATCAGGGAAAAACTCCTGATTTGGGGACATTGTACGAATCTGATCTGTGTACACATCACAATTCATCATTCAACTTTGTTTGTTCAGCATTGTTTCCCTTATTATGTATGTGCTGTGCCTTTTTCTTCTCTCATTTATAGACCAGTCCTGTAACATTACATTATGTTTTTAGGGCCCGAGCGCACTGAAGGGTGCGAGGACCCTATTGAAACTGTATTGATTATTATTATTCCGGCCGGAAGAGAAATCGCCTTTTTGAAGCCTTCCCCATGTTCAAAAACTCATGAAACTCTGCACATGCATCAGGCCTGGTGAAACTTTACATATTTTATAGATCCCCCCCATGGGCAAGGCAAAATGGCTCAATAGCGCCACCTAGTCATTTTTAAAAAGCCCCCGCTTTGTGTTTTACCTATATGCACAAAAATCGGTAGGCCCATGTAACATGTCAAGCCTCACAAAAAAGCCTCATGGACCCATACCCTAAACCTAACAAGAAGCCATTTTGAATTCAATTTGCAATTTTGGTGCCGTTTTTGCAATTTGGCAATCACATACTTTAACAAAATCCTCCTAGGGAATTCAAGATCGACAGGAACTGTGGTCAATCTCATCTTAAGACCTTTGTGACTTTAAATTGCGATGCTTTTGAGTTTTCGTTGGAGGACCTGCCCTCGGTGGTGCGTCGAATTTTGATCCTCCACCATGAAAATTCAACTCGCTCTCATTCCGACACAAATTGTCCAAACTGCCCTGAACTTTATGTCTGTGATTAGAGTCCTGCCCTGAACACACTCATATGCTCATATTCAGTGATACTCATAGCGCCCCCTAGTGGAAAAAGGAAGTGTCATGTTTTACCCTTTGATATATTGCTCATAGCGGGTTGTGCGAATCTTGACCCAAACATGGTCAGGAAATGCTTAAGAACTTGATGATGCACTGTAGTCAAAACTGTGACGTTTTGTGGAACAGCCTGCCTGTGGGGGCACAGTGAATTTCGATCCTTCGATCCAACTCGCCATAACTCCATTATGCATTGTCAAAACAGGCCGAAACTTTATAGGTATGATAAGACTCCCACCCTGAACACATCTACATGCTCATATTTAGTAATACTAATAGCGCCACCTAATGGAAATATAGGAAGCGGTTATAACTCTATGATAATTTGTCCAATATTCCCCAAATTTCACGTTTGATGACAGTGTCACACTGAAGACATATGTATACTAACATTACACTACAGTCACATCGCCACCTACTGAAAATAGGACATAAATCTTTTTTCTCAGATTTTCTCATGAGATTTTCATGGTCTCGTCTGCAAGATAATGCGTGTTTCGTGCATCTTTCGTGCAATACGCCTTCTCCTCCGCCATACAGTTCATGTAGGAAATCTTGCTCATGAGCACGGTGTTGTGTGGTTGTGACAATGCAGGGCAACCGTGACCAGAATCCCCGGTGTCCGCAGGAGTGCGAGGGCCTGCTTAACACTGCTTGCAGCTTTAATTAAAAATTTAATTAGAAAAAAAAAATTTAACAATCAAAGACTAATACCTACCCGTTGCCATGGTAATCAGTGCTCCAGTCCAGAGAGGGGTTGTTATTTGGTGTGTGTCGCCCCATCTGATGGTAGTCCACTGATGATGACATCACTGCTCCACCATTAAGCATACCTCCTCCTATTGGCTGGTAGTCAGACTGGATGGAGGGGAGGTAGCCCTGGAATTAAAACACATCTAGTTATGTAAACAGCATATATGCAGACTGTGTCAACACACTGAAAAAAGAAGAAATAAGAAGAAAGGGTGGCTGGTCATATACAGATGTGTACTCTCCTGACATGAGCTGTGAAAATCCAAACAAACAATATTCCAGCTGCTGATACACAGTGATGTGTGATACCAGAGGAGCAACGCTACTTCAGTGGCGCAGCAAGATGCATTTAAGTGTTCTTGCAGTATTGGTGGTGCTGGAAGCAAAGTGAAATTCATTTCATGGAAGTTGGTAGATTTTACTTTCTGACTCAACTAAAAGTTGAAGTTGAGAGCATCTGATGACAACACATCCAAGAAAAGTGTGAATTTGGTTGCTGGCAAAAAGCCTTGATGTCTCTTAAAACCAGACAAAGTTTTGATTTAGATCTAAGGTTCTCAGACTGTGAGTCACACATCTCCAGGGGACAGGTGCCTGATGATGTTGTAAAATAACCTGAAGTTACTTTTTGTAGTTTAGCTCACTGATTTACTTCCACACTCTCAACAGTTAAGTGGGATTTATTGCCCTTCTGAACTGCATGTCAGATAGTCAGATAGTGTCAGATACCCCTCTCCCCACACCTTGTCGATGTCTGATATGTGTCAGATGATCGGACAATTACACTCACTTCATGCGCTGACTGACCAGCTGTGCAGACGTGAGAGAGGAGCCAGGCAGTGTACTTTCTAGCGCTCTTTCTTCACTGTGGAAGTTTTAATGTCTTTGGGTCTGAGCTCTGCTTCACGAGTGGGACACCATAATGTTGGACCTTCGGCTGTCTATCAATTTATTGGCTATCATAAATTAAGAAAATATTAAAAATATTAATGTTAATTAATAACTTTAAAATGTATTAAAGTCCTCAGGGGCACCAGCCTAAAAACATAGACAAAATAGCCCATATCGGTTCAGTCCCAAATTATTACTATTTATCTGGACCTCTGATTAATAATTAACTTAATAACTATAACCAAATTACCATATCAACAGTAAGTAATGGTTGAAGGATTGGTGCTTAGAGTCATTACTGAGTCAAATCTAAACACAAAGACATATTTGGTTGGACCGCAACAGCAGGGTCAGCTCTACAATCATGAATGTCCGACAGAGCCTGGTAAATAAGAAAGATATTCTGCCACCTCTAACTTTCTGTGATCATTTGATAAGTAAATATATCTGAAATCACAGCACAGTTTTTGTGTTTAATTGATGTTTGGTGATTTTTTCAAATGACAAAGGCAGCTCCTCTGCCTGCCACAGCCTGAGGGAATCACAACAACATCCACACTACACATCTGTATGATGTTTATTACACTTTATACCATTGTTTTATATTGTATTGAATTATTGTATGAATTATATGAAAATCAAACAATGGACTGATCAGTAGATGACACATTGATGATAATTAATGTATTTCAAGATTTTGTAAACTGCTTTGGCAACATGTTTTTGTTCATGCCAATAAAGCCATTTGAAGTGAAACAAATTGAATTGAATTGAATTGAATTGAATTGAATTGAATTGAATTGAATTGAATAATCTGTATATCCATTGCAAACAATAACTGTTGAAGAAGGACAGCTAATTTGGCATATTAATCATGCCACTATGCCAAAATGTGTGAGACTTTGAAAGTAAGAAGTGAGAAAGAATAAAAAGTGAAATATTTTACACACATCACAGTGTTATTGCATGGGCTTAATTGTAAAATGTGTTTACAGTAATGGTGGTTAATATTCCTCATCCTACAAAGTGGATTAGTCTATAGGCAGCTGATGGTTTTTGTGAAGCACTTCTTTAGCAAAATGGTTTCTGATTTACGGGAATATGGATGAAGTCATGTATCCAGCTCAAGTGGAAAGGAAACAGAGCAGTCGCAGGTTCACCAGCGGTAATTACAGAATAATTGCCAGGAGGGAGTAGGAAAGCTGTGCAGAAGTGAAGATGAAAAGGTAAGATAAGAGGAGGAAGCAGTGGAACAGGAGGAGGAGAGGGAAAAGTAGGTGAGCATCTTAAACCTTAAAAGATGGAAGAAGGGAAAAAGGAGTGAGTGTAGTGAATAAAAGTGCAGGAGTGTGTGTCTGTGTGTGTGTGTGTGGGGGGGCAGAGAGGTAGAAAGACAGACAGAGAGAGAGAGAGAGAGACAGAGAGAGAGACAGAAAGACAGAAAGGGAGAGCGAGAGAGTGAGTGAGAAAGTGAGCGAGAGGTGGGGTGAATTAATCCGAGTGTTGTGACTGAAAGAGGACAGCAGGTGGTTGCCCCCCCCCCCCCCCCCCCACCTATTCATCCATTGTTTAGCAAATTCTTCTCTCTCTCTCTCTTGACAAAGACCCCATCTGCCTCTTTTGTCTCTCTCCCTCTCTCTCCTCTCTCTCCCTTCCCCCACTATTTCTCACTCTTCACTATAAGAAAAAGTTTGGACCTCTGTCACTGTGTCCTCTCTCTTTTTTCCTTCACTTTTTTGGGTTGTCTCTTTCACTTTTTTGCTAGGAATATGCAAAATGGAGAGAGAAAGGGGATTATGGGAGTGTGAGATTTAAAAGTCCACTATAAAAAGGGAGATAAAATGGGAAGAGAGACCCAGTGGAAGTCCATCCCCCCATTTCTTTAACAATTTAGAGGAAACACTCGCACCATCACACTATCTCACACTGGATTGACCGCAAGTTCATGTTCATAATGCTTTCACCTGTCTTCCTCTTTCTCCTCTGTTGATTAACTATCAACAGACTAACTGACAAGAGGACAGTGAAGGGGCAAAGGGGCTGACTGTCTCTGTCTACCTGTCTCTAATGTGATAATGTCAGACAGAAGTTGACAAAATAGACCAAAAGTCTGACTAATATCCAATCAAAAATTGATGTCTGCCATTAAAAATAGATTTTACATAGGATGTTTCCAAAACTTGACTATTACAAACATTTTTTTTTTACTTCTACAGTATGTCAGCATATCTGTATCATCCATTTCTAAGTCAACTATTCCATCACCAACCACGCTTAATAACCATGATTAATAACTAGGGTAGGCTGGATTCATTTCCAACAACATAAACTTTATTTAACTTAACTTAAATTCAATACAATTCTATCTTATTAAGTACTCAGGTCCACAAGGAAATGCGGATGTGTGTTCAGCATCCATCTCATCTCCACTGTTTGCGTGTGTGTGTTTTACCTCTTCAGCCTCTCCATCCACCTCTTCTTCTGTCACACATTGTGAAAATGGGTTTGGACTGTGTTTTTTATTAGTCTATCTTGACAGTGTTGTGTTAGTGCTGGAGCATGGTCTGGCTGCATCTATTGTCATTCTGCTATTGGGGGAAAAATGGTGGGCAGTGCTGAGACCAGGATGCAGCGACGGTGACCCTGCAAAATAGTGTTGTGGGGGATTTGTCTTGGTGGAACATTTGCATTTGGTCAAGCAAGCACTATCTTTAAAATGGCTAATTCATCGCAAAGAAAACGACATGAAAACAGCAAAGATGCATGTCAACTGTGTGATTGCAAGATCCAAATCTTCTTCAAAACCTGCCATTTTCAATGTGTAGGTTGCAACTTGGAGGTTGTGTTGTTTGCTGTAGCAAAGGGGAAGCAGAAAGGGAGGAGAATGCTGCCAAAAATAGGTGCCCATTGGCAAGTTTACACGCACAGCCTACATTCAGTGAGTTAGACTAGTTTTTTATAAACTCAGAGGTATAAAGTAAAAGCTGTGAAAATATCAAGTCGCTTACTACTGCCATCCCCTTAAATCCCTGACAAGAAGATGGCCCCCCCAGTTTTGCAAACCACTAAGAATCCAATCCAGTTTCTACATTGAATGGATAACCAATAGTCTTCAAGCTAAAGATTTGCATAACCCCGCCCCCTCGTTGCGTGCTTAATCCCAGGTGAACTGTTGTTGAGACGAGAGCATTGTCACTGAAAACCAGCAATGAAAAATACATCAATCCTGTTGTACTGTGCCAAACAAATCACTGCACAGCCATCTTTGGACACATGACTCGACCTGTCCCAAATCAGGTCTTTTGAGGTGTGTACAGCACATTTTAAATCCAGAGTGCATTCAGTAACAGGGGCGGTACAACATTGGAGTAGTATCCACATTAATATATGTAACTTTTGAGAAAACGCTTTGAGCCTTGGGCGCCCATGACCCTTTTGCCGGTTCACCTGTTGTCCTTCCATAGACCACTTTTGATAGGTACTAACCACTGCAGACCGGGAGTACCCAACAAGATCTGCAGTTTTGGAGCTGCTCGGACCCAGACATCTAGCCATCACAATTTGACCCTTGTCAAAGTCACTCAGATCCTTACACTTGCCCATTTTGCTGCTTCCAACACATCAAATTTGAGGACTAAATGTTCACTTGCTGCCTAATATATCCCACCCGCTGACAGGTGCCATTGTAACGAGATAATCAATGTTATTTACTTGGTCATAATGTTACGGCTGATCGGTATATGGGAAAAAAAGGTGATATTTAAGTAACAGCACTGTCCCACAATGAATTATAGAAGGAGATGGAAATGCTAATGCTAACTGTAAAAAATTAAAATAATTAATTGCAAAAGACAGTACCAAAAAACTGAAAACATATACAAATCTTTTTTTTACAGTTTGTCTGACATCTGAAGGTGCAATGCATCAGTACTTGTTTTTTGTGAAGCAGTAGTGTATTCATTACCAATTGCAGAAACAGTATAGAATAAAGATCAGAACATTGTGCACGGTATACATTCCAAATTAAGACAAAGTAAAAATTTTCTTCCCCAGTTGTGACGCAATCACCATATCAGCCAATTAGGCCTTTGCTCTAAATGCCATGACGTGAATCCTCAATCAAAATGCCACCAAATGCAAACCATGAGCGCATGATAAATGTAAGGTAGTTCAAATTCCAAGTAGTCAATCCAAGCTCATAAAGGTCACCAAACACTTTTTCCTTATATTTGCCCTGATGAAGACCCTGTGAGGTAAAAATAGGTTGGCTTACGCCTGACCAATTTATGGCTTTTGTTCTCACTCTACCTGAAGATAGTCAACTAAAATGTCATGGCAGAAATTCAAAATGCTGTAAAATATGTCATAATTCTTTTTGTTTGCTGAATAGGGAGAGCTTGACTAACACAAGTTCAACTTGCACTATTGATGGACAAACAAGTAAAAAACAGAGTCACACAGTGACTCACCTGTGTAATGGCAGGGGAGTGTGCCATTCCCAGTGAGTGTCCACTGAGCTGCTGGTGCTGATGGTGTGGACTGTGCAGTCCTCCCAGCTGTGTCTGGCTATGGAGGGGAGAGGTGACCTGGAGAGGAGGGGTGGATGCCCCCACCACACTGCTGAGGGATAGAGCTCCCTGGTGGGGGATGTTGGGCCGTGGCATGGTCCCTCTGGAGGACAGACCCTGGAGCTGGGGATGGAGCTGGGTGTGAGGAGGAGACAGGTGGGGGCCAAGACCAGGGCTCGAGGCATGGGAAGGATGGGATGGGTGAGGGTACAACATGTACATGCCCGGGTGCTGAGGGGGAGCAAGAGGGAGTGGGTGGGCAAGTGAGCTGGAGGAAGGGTGATGGCCTGGGTGACCAGGGTAGACTGAAGGTTTGGGTGTAAACATTGAGGGAGAGGAAGAAGAGGAAGACGAGGAGGAGGAGTGGGGCAGCTTCATTTCAGATGGGTCACTGTAACTCTGGAGAACAAGGAAAAGCAGAACAGAAAATCAATTTGCAGAGTTACCCGTTTACTCCTAATCAGTTTAATAGCAGTAAATTGAACTAGACCTGCAAACAGGTATGAACAGATTAGAGTTAGGATTTTAGAGCAATGCAAATCTTTATAGAACCTTTGATCAAAATCTTGTCTAGAATCTATCTGCAGAGTTTTGTGCAGATCGGACTCAATGCCTAGGAGGAGTTTGAAAAAGTAGGTTTTACATATTTCACGATTTTGTGAAACAATATGATAGGAGAAAATGGGCGTGGACTATATCATTAGATTCAGCTACTTTCAGTGAACAAGATAATGTAAGGTTTCTGAATGTGTGTCATATTATATGGGAGTTAGAGGCCAAACATCACAGCATTTAAAATAGTCTTTTGTCGTTTTCATGTTAATTGAGTTGAATATTGTGATAAATATGGAGTGATGGATTGAGAATTGACCATAGGTTGCAGTTAGGCAAACATTTCTCAGAATTCAGTGAATAACCAGAACAAAGTTCAGCTCTGTGAAACCTATGGGTGATTTATTATGCATTTCTTAAATTTGAATGGTGAAACATGGTGAATTTTGATTTTCTGTGATAGGCCACCCTCACTTTAATTAATCATTACCAAAACTTAGGCATGGACTCAGGAATGATGATTAATCATGCACACCAAATTTCGTACAAATCCATACAGCCAATTACGAGATATAAACTTTTCACCTTCGTGGCGCCCCCTTATTGGGGATTAGCCCCAAATTTGGTAGCTACCCTCGCAGTGATATCTGGAACTGGTGACTAAAGTTACATGTCAATAGACATTATTTTGCCAAAGATATGAAAGACTTCCTGTTTTGACCACTAGCTACTGGGAACTGGGAACCACGCTGCCTTGCATGCGTGGTCCCCTGCCCCCTCAGTTTGGACCCCTAATAATAATGAAAATCCAAATAGAAACAATAGGGTTCTCAGCTCTGCTGGAACAAGGGACCACGCTGCCTTGCATGTGTGGTCCCTATTTATCAGTGTGTGTGTGTTGTACCTGTGAGACCAGGCTGGCTCTGTAGGCAGCCAGTTGTTTCAAATACTCCTTTTTAGCTGTCTCTGTCTTCTTCTTGTATACCTGAAAAACAAATATTTTACTTCTCTACAAAACCCTGAGTTTGAAAAAATAACTTGTACAAATTTATTTAATTAGCATTGCTGAAACTGTAAAAAACTATAATTAGTGAAGTATTACTTGCCTACTAATTACAGTTTTTATTATAGTGAAAAAATCTTCAGTATATCAGGTACAACCATCATGCAAAAACTTGACTCAACTCAAAGGATCACAAAGGTCATTAAAATGTATCCTCTGGACATGAATGTCTCTCCGAAAATTTTATGGCAATGCATCCAGTATAGTTGTCAAGATACTTTAGTCTGAATCAAAGTATTGGTCTGACTGATACTAGTGTGGATAAAAAATCTAACTTTTGAATTATTTTTTTTATTTTTTTAACAAACACTCTTTTTGTGTTTTTATGTATCACATTTGAACATCTGAGTTATCACCACATTAATGTTGATGCAGCTGCATAATAACTGTAAAGATTTGCAAGAAAATTGCATTTATATACACATTATGCACACATTTACATCACATCACTTTTCTGCTAAATTATCAGCTGCAGTTACAATCAACCTGTCAGTTTGATTACTATGATATTAATTATGGATTTAATTTCATAACTTTAATTAGTATAAAGAAGCCATAATTATATTTTTTTAAGATAATATGATCGACAACAGTGATAACAGAAAGGTATAGTCAAATCTACCTGTTTCTCTTCCTCTCCCAAGCCATCCCACATGGACGCCACAATCTTTGACACCTCCCCAAAAGTGGCGTTGGGGTTCTGGGCCTTGATGTTGGCTTGGGTATCTCTGAAAAACAAGGCATAGGCAGACACTGGTTTCACCGGCTCATTGGGGTCCTTTCGCTTCTTCTTCTTTGGTGTTTTCGGTTTCTTGGAGATATCTACTGCTGCTGGCCGCTTCTCTGCTCCACCACCGTGCTACAAAGAGAAGAAGGTGGTTGAAAGGAATATAGGACAATAGCTAAATTTGAAGAAATTCCCTCAATGTGTTACTGAGATATCGTGTTCACAAAGCCAAAAATGTGTCTTGTGTGATGATAGTGGACTTGAAATTTGACCTTTAAACTCCTTAAATCCAAGTGAACGCTTGTTTGTTGTAAGTTTGAAGAAACTCCATCAAAGTGTTACTGAGATATTGCAGTCACAAGAATGAAAGAGACTTGAAAACACAACGCCCCCAGCTGGAAGCATAAAGACTGTATGATTCTCTTAGGAGTAATGTCTTTTGTCTTCTTTTGTCTTCGACCTGGCATTTTAACAGGTCTGTTTGTGTCTTTGATGACTCTCTCATCACTACCATGTGACCTCATTGTTCTTGTTTGATGTCAAGCCATTGTACAATTCAGAGATGAACCATGGGGAAACTCCCCACCAGTCAGCAGAACTGAAGCCTCTCAGAGAGTGGTTAAAAATCATCCACACCATACACGAACACTGACTGTATCACACCACAGCAAAAGTAGCACATCAGTGGCAGTACACACATTTGGTAATACTTTGTTTTTCTTAACAGGAAACTTTCACGATATGATTAGGACCTGTAAAAGAAAGCATTACCAACATTTATATTGATTAAAACCAAATCATTTAAAAACATTTGTTTTGTCAAATGGGCAATGAAACATGCTGCTGAAATGCATCCTGTAGACATCAATTAGATATCCATGGTCTGGATGGCTGAGACATGCACATTCTCCTGACTTTCACCTTTATTTTCATCTATTAGTCACAGGAATAATATATCTTGAATATACTGTGTATCCCTGTAGCCAACTACCACCCACTCATGTTTTAACAGCTATGTAACACATGCAGTGCAAAAGCTCTGCTACTAGACTTTAAAAAGGCATGTTATCCAGTTGCCCCCCAACAGCAATATGGAGTTTCAATGTGGGCAACTAGACCTTGTTAGATTGCACCGCTGATGTCAGTGACAACAAAAGGCCAAGGTGACCCTGACCTGTCGGGGCACAGCAGGCTGGGGGTGGGTATCCTCTAATAAGCAACAGCCTCACAACTGCCCTTGGATTTGATTGAAAAGTATGTGACATAATTAACCAGCCAGTGACAAGAACACAGAGAAGAACAAAAGTGCATGAATCTCATGTTAAATAACCAAAACTGTTCTAACTTTAGCAGAAAATTGTATGTTCCTGTAGGAACACATCACTTACAGGAAGAAGATGATGATTAAATTGAAATGACTGATTAAATGTGATGAAATATGGTCTGTGGGCTTTTAAATGAGTCACAACACTTTATTAAATTTGCGGTAACTTATTACTGCACTGAAACTGTATTTCCCTTCTATTCTATTTGTCTCTTTGTATTTCATTTCTTTTCATAATCATGACATACATTTTTTCCCCTTCATTGTGTTCTTAAATGTTGGTCTTATGCATTTCTTTGCCTGGTGCTGACCCCTTAGATTAACCAAGGTTTTAAAGGAGCTATACAAATAAACCAGCCTTGCCTAATATATGTACATTTATCATTTTCTTATGAATACTAAAGGCTATTGGCTAGTATAACTTAGTGAATACTACATGATGTGCAACTTTGCAAAAACAGCCACTGTTTGTATAGGGATGTGTTGTAAAGGTAAAACCAATCTTAATTTTCTTTCCTACAAGATTTTCTTCCTGATGCTAGTATTACTTGTATACTGGCTTAAAATGTTGCCCATCTACAACTCACTGTTCTATACATAGTCAATGAGATGATAAAGCTGGTAAATATACTCAGTTGTCAGTTTATTGGGAACCCCTATCTAAAACTAATGTCCTCTAAAAGTATTGTGATTTTCTAGGCTGCAATTTGTGCTGCTGTTGAACTATGCTGCATTGTACAAAGATGTGTGTCTGTTGTTAAGCCTACCCTCATTAATTTAGATGGAGTGGACAAAATAATAGGAATACCCTTTCAATATAATACAGTGCAGTTCAACAGCACCACAGACTACATCCTCCAAAATTATCTCACAGTTGAATCTACACATTCTTACCAGTTTGACTCAACATTGAAACCTTCATGACAAGTAGAGTTATTGCAGGACTGTTGTATTGGACTGCATTAGTTTTAGATAGGTGTTCCTACTAAACTGTGTATCATTCAGCAGTACAATAGTGGTTTCATTTCCCCAGAATATGATCAGTCAGTTTGGTGCAGAGTGCTTGTTTCAGTGTGAGACACCAAACAGTGATTTCCATCTAGTTGATATGCAGGCAGAATGGGTGTATTATGACACATAACATTAACATAACAACTCTTCACTGTCTACACACACACACATACATACACAACAGAGCAGACCACAAATGGCTGTTACAGCTTAGCAATATATGACTCAGTAACTCATAGAAACAGGAGATATAGTGTGTGTGTGTGTGTGTGTGTGTGTGTGTGTGTGTGTGTGTGTGTGTGTGTGTGTGTGTTTTACCCTGAGTCCATCATCATTCTCATCCTCATGTGCTGAACTGGAGGGAGATGGTGTGGCGGATTTACTTTCAGGGGGTGAAGGAGAATTATGGGCAATGGAGTTCCCACTCAGCCCCAGCTGAGATTGCTTGATGGTAGACAACTGACTTTGTTGAATCATGCCTGATTGGCTCCTGGGTCCCAGAGCTGCTTCAATTGGCTGTTGGCTGCTGGTAAACCGAGAATCCGAGTTAACCATCTGCTGCATCTGTGCAAAGACAAGATGTGATGACAGTGAATGACTTTGATGACTTGATGGTGTTCAACCAACATCTACACAATATTCCTGTCTGTCTGCGAATTATATCAGTATAGCACATTTCTTTCTATTCTTTGTTTGTTGCCATTAATTATTGTAGATTATCATAAAACAACCTGCACAGACATTTTTTCTAATGTTTTGAGATCACATTCATAAAAGATGAGATGTAAAGTTATAGAAGAAACTGAGAACAATTTTAAATAAAAGCTTTAATCTCCTATAATTTCTCCTCCAAAGAGACAATGATATAAAATAAAACAGAAAGTCTTCTGGGCCTCTTCTTGGTACACTCTAAAGCTTCCCACTAGGTGATGAGACTCGGCGCTGAACATGTCGTTCTTCTTGATGATTTGTATCACGTTGAAACAGCAAGATTCTCCCTTGATTCTGACAACCCTGCCTCACTCAAATTTAGCTTCACTTGTCTTTTTTTTCTGTTCTCTAGCGTTCTCAGCAGTGAATGCTGCCGGGAAGCCTATTGTTTTTGTTGTTGTTATTATTATTAAGGGTCCTAGCAGTGAATGCTGCTGGATCCCTATTGTTTTTGTTCTCGTTATTATTCTGTCTTCTTATTTTTTAAGCTTAAAAACTACTGGAGAAAAACTCATTAAAATTGACATATTGATTGCAAATTTTGACCACTACTCAGGCACAATAAATAAAAGTAATTGTCCGATAGGTGGCGCTATAATAATGAAGTATACATTGCAATATCCATACGTGTAATGTTCTCGAAAACGGCTTGGGCTACAGTCAAAATTAATTTGCAAATTTGATCTCTGGAATCTTCTGCATCTTTACTCGAATGATATTCTGCTCTAAAAATGTTAAATTTTTCATCCATTTTCAAATAATCAAATGTAAACCCAAAAAAATCCAGTCCAAAGCTGTTTATCTGATTCTCATGAAACATTATCAAGAGACAATGCTGATGAAATTTTATTGAAAGAATTTCAGTTTGTCAATCCATTGTGAAACACCAACGCTCATAAAACAAAATTGGCTACTGCTATTGGAACCAAACTTGGTGTACACCTGTGGACCTTAAGTCCTACCATTGTTATAGACTCGTGGGATATTCTGCCTCTAGGGGGCACTACAAACACAAAAGATTGTATCTTAGATTTTGCTGTATAGATTCATATGAAATTCGGTAATTTGTTGTAATGATTGATTAAAGTAGCCGTGACTAATTACAAGAAATATACATTTCTAATCATTCCACCTTACAAACTTCAAATAATCACAATAAATTACTTGTATGTCCAACAGAACTGAGATTTTTTCAGCACATCCACTGAATGGTGATGAAAGTTTGCTTCACTGTAATCTATGGTCAATTCATCATCGTCAAGTCATTCACTCTATATTTTCTTAAAATATATAAAATCAATTAACATGAATATCTCCACTAGTCTTGATTCAAATGTCACCAAAATTAATAAAGACATTCTCTAGATAGTAGATATCAAGTGTTTCACGGTGTTTGGATCGGACAAACAGTGAGTCCTCAGTGATATTAATTATCTTGCTATAATTTTTTACTTAATGCGCAATATTTTCTTTTTGCTCAGTGTTGGATTCAAAGTCACCAAAATATTTGATGATTCTCCTGGAACCAGTAAAATTATGTGTTATATTTTTCAAGACTGTCACACCAACATTTTGACCATTTTAAGTGTTTTAAAGTGAAACAAGCAAAAATACTCCTGTTTTGCACATGTGATATAATTTCCTCAACTTGTGTTAAGGCGTGTGCAGCACATGGTTACCCAGTGACACAACCAGTAAGTCACATTCTCTAGGGATACCAAGGTCAGGGGTTTGAAACCACAGAGGGCCTAAGTCCTGCTTCAGTACTGCTTCATCAAAAATTCAATAGAAATTCATACACATGGTATTCAAATGCTTGCAAGCTGCTAGGACCCTAATAATTGCAGCTAAGCGCAGCTATATTGTTGTTTTTGCCATTACTTCTGATTATCAAGTCCTTCACTAAGTTTAAATGACACAGAAATTGCATGTAAACCCCTTGCTTGTACAATATTTACCTTGATCCTTCAGACTGATTCTGTCAATATTGTAGAATAACTGTAGGCCAATGAAAACATCAGTGTGTGTTGTTTTCTACATATTGCTCTCTATGCATCGTTTTAATAATGTTATGCAGCACATAGCATTTGTCAGGTGAATATACTGTACAAGTATTGTTCTGCTATATTTGCAGCATTAATTATTTTACTTTTGTGTGCCATACTTACCTGTTTGGTTTTGAGTTCCTAAACCAGTGGATACTTTTAAATGCATATTAAACACACAATTATTTTGTGACAAAGACAATAAGGCAGTCTTCAAACAGTAAGACTTAAAAAAATGAAACTGTTGCTTAAACCTTAGCCTCCATGCTGGACCGAACAGACGGTGCACTGAAACAATATCTGAGCTACATAATATTGTTCATGTAACAGACCTACTTGGACTTTGAAACAGAGTCTGTCTTTGCATGACAGGATTTGTACAGTGTGCAGCAGTCCAGGATTCACTAATAATGAAATCTGATAGTAGCCATGGCAACAGGCAATACAGGTCAGGGATAAGACAGGATCAGATGTCATTTAAACTGTCAATTCCAACTCATGTAAATACATCCCTAAAGATTTTATACTTTATTTGCTACACTCCAGAGAAGTTGCTAAAGAACTTTATCTGGAGAAAATGTTTTGGTGTACACAGGCAGAATCATACTAGAAGCACAGTTTATTTCCAGGTCTGTTTGCTTCAAGATATAAAATGACCAGACAGTTGGTCCACAGCTTTACAGTGTCATGAACAGAGTTTTACCAAACATTATAAGACTTATGCACGGCACATTTCTCTGTAACATCTAATCTAATTGAATTGAAAAAATAATGCAGAAAGTTCTCTACCGCTCTGGAGAGAAAAGATGATGTATTGACCCAAATATAAGTGTTTTTTTCTGGAAATTAGTTTTAAAAAAGTTGGGGTCACCTTATAGTTGAGGATGGGACAATCACACAGCTCCACATCACCACAGTGTCTAAGCCCTCCAGCAACCAAGGGAAAACCCTAATGAATGCATAATGTTTTATGTGTATTGTTTTCTTTCAAAACAAATGTCCCACAACAGAGGGAATCTTAAATAGATCTCATATAATACATCAACATGCCTGAGTCTATCTATGTACATTTCTATCTATGTATATTTTTTCATTAATACTGACATTTAAATGTCACATTAAAACATCTTAATAAAAACTGCAGCTCCAATGCCAAGAAGCAAGAAGCAGTTTTAAGGCATTCTGGACAAATGGGAAAATGTTATTCCATGGCAAATCTCGGTGTGTGCTCCTCATTATTCAGAAGCCCTGTCTGTCACCCACTGTGTAGTGTAGTTCAGTCCATTGGCATTGCCAAAATGTGAGCAATCTCATAGTGAGCTAGTCATCTTTGATATTCTGTCTATTTCTCAGGAAAACAAAAGTTATCATTGCTAACACTCGCAGCATGGGAACTTTGACACTTATCAGTGCTAATATGAAGACGGGACTGGGTTGATAGCGTGTATTTAGAGTTTCGTTTTAGTACACATTGAATAATAACGGATGTGGTCTGGTACACTCTGCCCCTCCTGGGAACACATTACCTGAACTCAGTTACTGGCACCAGACTTTCAATGCTGCTGTAGTATCTAGATGGAACACAGAGTGACATCTCTCTAACATGGGAAGAGGTTTCAGATTGAAGTACATGCTGGTCGACATGCTGAAAAATAATAGCTGTGGTTTGGCATTTGTTGGGTTGGGACTTCAATAAATGTCATAACAGTAAACAGTCAAAATATGAACTGTCATAATCCTCTAGAAAGCTTTTACTCGCTCATCTCACATACATAAAACCATTTTAAAAAAGTTGTTTCACAACCTGACAACATTGCTGAGCTATTAAAAAAAAAAAAATACATGGATCTAAATTAAAAACTAAATTAAAACTAATCAAAACTTTTTACTGAAAAAAAGTTTTGTAAATATGTTTGTGCGGACTGAATTGAATGATATATGATTACATTATACTGTATGTTACATTATTATCATAACTCTTTATTATAGAATTAAACTGCCTGGCTCAGAATGACAGATTGAAACTCTGAATAACAAAAAAATTTACTTGAGAAAATTAAAATCAAAAGGAAAATTCAAGGCAAGGAGGTATTTCAGCTCTAATCTTAGTGGTTTGGGTGGTAACATCAGTTTACAGGAAAAAGAGATCACAAGGTCACACACATAACGTTATAGCAATTGAAACATACTTTCGGAACTAAACACATTAACAATGGAAAAAATATCAATCGGATTTTCCTTCTGTAGGTCAGAAAAACATTTGTGTAGATAGCCTAAGAGAGTAATAGAGGGGGAACCCCGGATGGCTGAGTAATGACTGACTCATGTCACGAGAGGGGAAGGAGTATTGACGTCAGCTTAATCAATCACATCAAGCTCCACATACATGTGGTTACTGACAGGATTTCAATTTGAAATGTACAGCAACAAAATCACAATCTGTTCTTGCTTTTAGCAATCAGAGCTTGCAATTTTATTTATTTATGTTTATTGTTGCAAAAGAACATACAATATGCTAACCAAATCACAAATCTTTCATCTAAATGATAGTAAAAGCATGCAAGTATTGGCAAGTTGACTGTTATTATAAAGAATAGTCCTATTGTGATTGACTTATCTGACAGAAATTTTAAAATGAGAAATCACTCTGTGTACACTGCTTTAATGTACAGGTTTGCAATATGGACAGTCTGCTGTCATGTTGGATGAAATTTCATGTCACAGTACACAACACTTTAAGTACATTTTCTGGAAATGTAATTAAAAAACTGAGATGGTAATCTCTGTTTTTGGCTGATATATTATATGAAACATTTAATATCAAGGTCCTTCATCACATTGACACAAAAGTCTTGTAAATCCAATATATTCATAAAGAAACCCTGTTCATTAATGTGCAATATTACCAACAATGGCCTAATTAAACAAGATATTAAAGGGATTGTTGATAATTTGAGTCCATCAGCCTTCAATCAGACCAACGAATATCATCTGCACCTGAGTAGTTGCCTCCTTTAAGAATTATACACAAACACACACACACACACACACACACACACACACACACACACACACACACACATACATACAACACACACACACACACACACACACACTTCATAGCCCCTCACCCACCCTGTTAAGGCTGAGCCAGGATGGTTGCTAGGCAATCATAATTCATGGACTAGCAGTAAATGTATGTTAGTATGAGAATAAAAAAGTAAGCTAGAGAGAAGGAGAGAGAGAGAGGAAAGGCAAAGATGGAAAATATGACCTTCTAATCATCATCTCCACTGTTTGTTTTTTAATTTATTTTTTGGCCATTTTTTTGCCTTTATTCCAATAGTACAGTGAGAGAGAGAGACAGGAAAGTCAGGGATCACATGCAGCAAAGGGACGTGGGTCGGACTTGAAACCATGGCTACTGCAGTTAGGACTAAGCCCACGTGGTATGCACTCTACCAGGTGAGCCACTGAGGTGACCCTCATCTCCACTGTTACATACTTCATAGACAGGTTAGTCACAATCAAAGAAAAAAAATTACAATTTAATTCAAAATTATTAAACAACAGTCTGTATTATGACATTTAATAGCATCATAATAATTCAACTACAAACAGGGCTAAGAGGTTATCATGAGGTTTTAAACTGAGCAGGTAGGACTGCCAGAGACTAAGTCCAAGTGGGAGGGGGAAAAGTTCTATTCTTAATAAAATGGGAGAAATCTTTATTACAGATACTGACACATATACACCTCACCCCACTGAATAGCAAGTTTCTATGACAGTTGAAGTAACTGCAAGTCTCTGGTCTAGCTCCTATTTCTTTACATTACATTCTTTATATGACACAGTCTGCCACATCTAAATGTCACAACTCAAAGCAAGAGTTTCACTTTTCGGTGAAATGAAAATATAAGGCAAATGTCACATCGACCATACGCCATGATTGGCTTTCAAATAACACTGCCCCAGGCAATATCCCATTTCACAAAGTGAAACTGAATAAAACATTAAAGAGTATAGTTAAAATATAACTGCTGGCTGTCAGTTCAAATCTTAAGACTCAAGAAGATCCTAAATTTTCAAAAGTATGTTTTAGCAAGACAAAAAATATTAGTCCATCCTAAAATAAACCTTTTGAGTACTATGGTCAATTCAAGTTGGCTTTTTAAAGTATGTAGTTTCCTCACTGATGGGGAGCAGCAGTTGGTTCGGCTGAAGTTCTACTCTGTGTCAGTGATTTCAACTGTGAAAGATTTTTAGTGATGAAATATCTTAATCCACTCGTACAACATAATTCACTTCTCTGCCATCTATACAAATGCATAGTACGTTATAAACAATAATAGACAAACCAAATCTATCTTAAGACACCATCACTAGTAGCACTAGAACTACGAGGGGGACAGCAGCAACAAATCATACAGATGGAGGGGGGCTTTAAGTATTGGTATTTGTATAGCTTTCTTTTATTTCAGCCTAAAAACGTCTCATCCGCTTGTACTACCAAAAACATCTATGAGAGTGTGAAGGGGCTGTAAATCTTTATAACCCTGCCCTCACTCATGTAGTGGTTTAGCAAACTAAAGGTCATGCTTGCTACTGTCATGTGTATAAATCCAACTTTTAAATGACATACCATCTTGCTTCAATTTACATGTCACCACTTACCATTACCATTAATATGTGTGATTTATTTATGACTACTCACCACAGATAGTGTACTGGTCATTGGGCCAACATCTGGGCTGAACGTGCCACAATCTTGGTTCAATATAGCAGCTCCATCTTGGCTACCAGGCACGCTAGGCAGATCCATGCCCTGCAGCTGGTAGAGGTGGTGTGGAGCTGAGCTAGGAGGAACGTCCAGAGGTGGGTACGGTCCAGAGGGGGAATCCTGAGGGAGATGGGGGGGCAGCATGTGGTCTGGCAGGTTGGGGGGAGTGATAGGTGGGATGTTGAAGTCCTCATCACCCAAACCACCCACTGAGTATGTCTAAAAAGAAACAGAAAGACACAATTAAAGACACATACAAAACCATATGTATGTATAACTACTCACAACATTGTTGTTTTCCTTATTGACTCTTTACTGACACAGTATGGGACACATAGTGTATCACACATATGAGAGTCAAGTTTGGTGAAGTTTACGTATTGTGATATGCAACACTTAGAGCTAGGCTGGATGAGCAGAGTGAAAACTTGGAGAAAATTAAAAAGAACTACATAGGGGACTCAAAGTGTCATGAAATATTCCTATCAGAGATAAAACTGACCATCACCACCATCACCTCAGAATGTTGAATCCACTCTGAACTACAGCTCTGTGTTGTGTCATGTTGTCATTCTTAGCCTGAGCTCCTATCACAGACTAATTATCACTAATGATGTTCCCTGCCCGAAGGAAAGCATTGTTCACAAGCACTCACTCATTAAGCAGGGGAGCAACACAGTAATTTTAATATGTACAACTCCCATTTGCTTGAGAGACTACACACAGCTCTTTGTGTATAGAAATACATCATTGCTAATCTGACATGCAAAAAGAAAACCAGGAGCAGTCCCTTATCTGATAATGAATTACTCTGAAAGCAAAGACAAATGAGAGAAAGATATGCAGTGGCAAATGGAGTGAATGAATCATGCAAGAGAAAAGTCCTAGACACAAGGGATGAAAAGTGAGAGAGAAGCCCTCTCATATTAATCTGACAGAGGAGATCTTTTATAGAGACTGACAGCCTTTTCTGCTTGGCTAGCCACACTCTTTTGCTCTTCATTTCGCACCAGCCTTCTTCCTCCACCCCTCAATTTCTCTTTCATCTCCCTCACTCTTTCATTCTCTCTCACTCTTTCCTGATTTATCTCAAACCCACATACAGTTTAGTGTTATGAGTTGCATGACTTGTGAGCTGAGTGATGAGCTATGAGTTGAGTTATATGATGTATACGCTCACTATGTAATGAACAGCCATTGTGGTACACCACAAAATCAGTTAATAGTTTCACCACTTTAAAATACAATGTAGGAAAGAGAAAAAACATAAATGTGCGATAAGAGGTACAGAAAATGATAAAACTCATTTCATCCTCCTTCCATTTACTTTTCATCTCCCAAATATACATAAAGGCCAAATATAATCAAATAAACACTCAAATTATCTGCCTTTTCACTCTTAATTTAACAGGTATTTCATTTCATTTAGGCAGAGTTTCAACAATTTACTGACCTGGTCCAATTACAAATTTAATTTGGCTTCATTGCAGAACATACATTAGACTAAATGTGTTGGACATCTTTCCTTTGTCAAAATGGCTATAAATAATTAGATTAAATAATCTGTAATGTCAAATAAACATGAGCTGGTTACCGCACTGTCCCTACAGTGGACTCCAGTTTTACTGGTTTTATGTAAGATTATAGATTAGATTAGAATAGATTAGAATATGTAAATTTTATCTGCATGATGGGAGTGGCTTGGGCATTATTCATTGTAGCCAACATTGGTATAGCTGCTGGAAACACCTGCTCAGATTAGAAAGATGTCTTTGGATGCACATATACTGTTACGCCAAGTTCATCCATAATGTCAAACATAATGCATTCTAGTTTAGCGTTAGCATGAGCCTCAAACAGCTAACTAAACCAGACAACTTTATGCTGCAGTGTTCATCAACATTATTGCCATAGTAAGCACAGAAAGCCACAACGCAACTTTCTTCTTCTTTGGACAGAAAGGTGTATTTTATAAACTTATTTTATAATATAAGTAATTGATAATAAATTAATCACTGACATGCCTGCCTGTGATCTAAGAAAGTTATGCAAAAATAATCTGGTTGCTTAAATAAACTCAGTCAGATTCAGTTCCTAAAATTCAATGTAAAATTCAGACTGAGCATCCAGAGTATGTAAAGTGTTGTCGTTCTAAAGACACAATAAATCACTAAAGGCACATGTGTAAATAAATATCATGATATTAATGTGTCATGTATCAGTAAAGGTGTAAATGGAGTTGTTTCTTTGTTTTCATTCTTGTTAGTCACCTGCCAAGTTCTCTTCTCTTGTTCTGCAATCAAGAATCTTGTAATTCAGTTTCTTTTATCCATCAGGTCATGTGGTCACAAAAAGTTCATTCTTGGTGTTTGACCCTTCTCTCCTCCTACATGATTTCAGCCAGTACTGTCTCGTGTACCCAACATCATACTCACTACACTGTGTTTTTCACGTCCCTTCAAACCCCGTCCAACAGTCTGTTTCATGGTCCTGTTGAAGCACAGAGCTCTGCATAAATTACGATGCCTGTCTATTTCTGTCTGCCTCTCTCTCTCTCTCTCCCTCCCTCATCTACTCTCTCTATCATTTCTTCAATTTCTACATAAATTACTCATTTCTCTCTCCCTCTCTCTCTGCGCATGGATTCATGTCAGTACAATAACCTGTTCTAGAGCCTGACGGATTATCAGTCGGCTGATACTGGCCTATCACAGATATATTGGTATCAGCGTATATATTCTCCGATATGTGCTGATATGAATACTTTTATCAACAAGCAATAATGCAGCAGAAATGATTGGGTCAAGTCAAATTATATAGGCAGCATTTTATGTACAGTTGCAATCAAAATTATTCAACCCCCATTGCATTTTAGGTTTATTGGCAAAATTTCAAATTTTTCAGGTGTGTGCAATAAACAAATTACAGGAGAACAGTTTAAATAGTTAAATAAAACTAATATTACAAGGATTTTATCCAAATTCAACACTAAATCCTACTTTCAATGACTACTGCAGTCTCAAAAATATTCAACCCCCTGAATAGAATTCCTCATAAGAGCACACATTTGCAAATCAGGTGTGGTCTAAGGCACACCTGATGCAATCAATCAAGGGCTTCATTAGTTGCATCAGGTGTGTTTGAGAGAGAACACCTCAAATACCTGGACTGTTGACGGTGACGTTTCATTGCATGTTAGAAATATGGCTAAGTCAAGAGTCTTGGTTTTGGAGGTGTTCAGAAGGAGGCAGTTCTTGTCGCTCTTTTCACTGAAGGCCATCGTGAGATCCCTGTACTCCTCTTCCTGCCTGTTCCTGATACCACCACAATAACTGTGTCATCCGAGTATTTCTGGATGTGGCAACACTCATAGTTGTATTTAAAGTCGGCTGTATACAGGGATAACAGGAACAGAGCCAGAACAGTGCCTTGTGCCAGTGCCTAGCGGACATATCAGAACAGTTAGCACAGTTAGCATCTTTAATTTGTTTATGTTGTTTTTTAGCTTGTAACTGGCAGTGGCTGACACAGTGTTAATGGTTGTGCTAATGCTAACTCTCACTTGCTCTAAACTGCTGCTGTTTCTTTCTTTCTCTCCCTGTAGGTGGTGCGATCTGGACTAGAACTGCTGGACCAGAACTGTTGGTGAGTTTGTTACACTGAAATGTGTGTGTATGTGTATGTGTGTGTGTGCATGTGTGTGTGCGTGTGTGTGCGTGTAATTTACGACTCATATATTGTCATTTGCATGTCAACATAGCATTTTCAATGCAACCTTGTCTGTGAATCTCTACTTATTCTCGTGGCTCCTTTTGAGACTGCTCTACTATTTTACACAAAATTCACAAATGCAGAGAGAATGTTACATGTTTAATGTCACATAACTCATGTCTCGTAAAACACGATCCACAAATAAATTCAGAGTGATTTGTATCTGTAAATCTGTATGTGCCCCCAATTTATAACTTGTATATCAGAATTTGTGTGTGAACTTTTCATTAGAAATATATTTGTGAATCTCCACCTATTTGTGTGGAGCGCTCCACTGCTCATTGACCTCCACTGGCTACCCAGGGCCACCCAAAATCAGATTCAGTCACTAATGCTGCCTTCAGAGCGGGCCTGCACCATTTACTTGAACTCAATCATTCAGCCTTATGCTCCTTCTCAGCCGCTGTGTTCCTCCAAGGAATGTGGTCTGTCATCACCATCCCTGCACACAAGACAGTCTCAGTCCAGACTGTTCTGGTCTGTGGTTCCCTGGTGGTGGAACAAGCTAATAATGCTATCAGAGCAGGAATGTCTCTCTATATTTTCAAGAATTTCTTGAAGAATCATCTCCTCAGAGAGCACCTTCTCTCCTAACACCTCTAACTCCCTACCATGCCTAACTAGCTCTTACTATGCTCTTTCGTGCACCTCTTTATCTGATATCTTTGCACTTTGCCTTATTGAACTGATTTAGTACTTCCTACACCAAGGTCTTCTACTGCATTGAAGCTGTAGTGATGTTGCTCACAAGTCGCTTTTGATAAAAGTGTCTGCCACATGAGTAAATGTAAATGTAACCATTCTGTCTGGAATCGCTCACTGGACCACAACTCAAAATCTGTGCTGTAGACCTCTGGAGTATCTTTAATTCAGAATAATTTGATAAATGGTTTGTGAGTCTGAGTAATAGTGATTTTTAACTTTTACCGTTCACGTAATTCCAAAATGTTATTTTTTAGGAGTTTGAACAATACATGCCCAGGTCCCACCTAAATTGGTCTGTTGCAGGTCAGTTCCATATTGGCAAATGGCAGTTAAACACAAACCCTTGATGGATAATAGGTATGAGTGAAATCACTATTCATCCTGTTACTGATGTTATTTTGTCATGTGTGGGACTGTTCCATGTAGAGCATTTCAAATGAACTATTAATTCTATAAGCCAACGAACTGTACGTGTGTGCATGCATGTATGTGCATGTGTGTGTTTGTGCATTCACCCAAGGCAGACGGTGTGTGTCAGTCATGTGTGTGTCCCTCCTCCAGTGCTGTGAGGATTGGTTTGGTGACGTCACCTTGTAGAGAGCGTGAGGGGGCTGTGGCAGACGAAACTGATGGAAGAATCATTAAGACAAAGGTCAGAGGTCAAATACAAAGGTCATGAAGAGGAGCATGGACAAAACAAAAGGGAGGAAGAGAGAGGAAAAATTCTTAGGCCCTTGCTCACACACGCAGACACACATTTGACAGTTATCAATACACAGTTAAATAAAGTTTGGTGAGCATTCCTATAGACACCTAGCATTCATGTTAATTGATATTTTGACCTATCACCCTGCAGTGGGTGTCAGACTGTGCCGTCATAAATCTCTTGGGCCCCATGACAACACCATTCACGAGCCTTGACTTAAAGTGTTTTTAAAGTGACCTAACATACCTCTAAGTCGCTTTTAACTCCAGCTCTCACCCAAGCAAAGAGCAGATATTCGGCAGCTTGACCCAACCTTATATTTACATTGTATATGCTTAGCCTAAGCTGTTGGGCTGGTTCCGTTGGCTTGATATTTTACTCCATTATCTGGAGTAGGGTCGCGGTGACAGCAGGTTAAGCAATTTAGCCCAGATGTCCCTCTCCCCAGCAACGCTTTCCATTTCCACCTGGGGGACCCCGAGGTATTCTCAGGCCAGATGAGATATGTAATCTCTCCAGTGTGCTCTGGATCTAGTACTAGGCTTCGGCCAGTGGATGATATCAACGTCAATTTCCAATAGCTGACAGTCATCACAATGATGAGCACTGAGATTATGTGGTTTAAAAAACAAACAATAATTGCTTAAACTTAACGATTATCTGCCTTTTATTTCTATACATTACTTTGGGTTTTTATCCTGTTAAAAGAGCTATTTGTACATTTTGTTTCCTCCCAAATGCGGTTAATTGCTGGGACTGAGTGGTGGTAAATGTTGCTTGCTCTGGCTATTGATGCATTTACAAGACAAGAGCGCACCCTCTGAGCAGCACACAGATTGAAGGCTATAGTGAGTCGCAATAGTATAACTTGCAAATAGCTGCTTTAAGAGATTATCCATCACAAAGTGTCACTGTAGACATCTTCATATGCCAGTTTGCTGAACCCTAAGTACAGCTTCTCAGAGCCACTATCATGGCTGTGGATTCGAACCATTTCAAAAAGCAGTTATTCATTGTAGATGAAACCTGGCTTTCCAGCCCTGCACCTCCTGCTGAGCTTGACAGAAGTATCTAGCTACACTCCAGGAGAAATCTGAGAAAGACTGAACTAAAACTTATTAATTCACAACAACCTCTGACCTAAATTAATGAATGAATAAATGAAGCTGAATCTTGACTTTATGGAAGCTGTGGTACTAAAAGAGTCATAAATTCTTATTCCACACACTACTCCCCATCTTCTTATAGCACAACACTATGAATAAAACATCAAATCAAAGATTTCTATGCCACACAATATTGTCTATATCGTACTCTATGAATAATGTATCTTTAGTGGTGTTTCTCATTAATATGGTCTTTGTTTGGGGGTGAGGTAATGCTCTACTAACAAATGCATCTCAAGACTAAGAATAGAAAATGTGTTCCAGTCCATCCTCAGTCATGGCTTGTTGGCAAGACCTCACAAATATGTTACGCTGGTTAAACACAACACAGAATGAGCACCAAGAGGGCACTGCATCAACTTCATTGAACCCAAATAGGCAAACTTTGAGTTTGAGATAACTTAAGGACAAATTTCAATTTATGCATTTTTTTACTAGTCTTTGGATTAAACCAGTAACGAGCTACTTGCTAACGTTACTTGCTACCTAACTTTACAGGCGATACCCTGGCTGTGTGTGAGTAGATATGCATACATTTAACCAGTTGCAATGGAGCTTAGTCAGAGGGTTCTTGGTCAGCTCTCTTTCCAAGGCCCATGCTCAGTTTGACTGTTCTAGGAAGAGTCCTGGTTATTCCAAATGTGTTCCATTTAAGATTTATGGAGGCCACTGTTTTGTTGGGACCCTTCAGTGTAGCAGAAATGTTTTTGTAGCCTTGTGTAGTTTAGGGCATTCAACATAGCTATGAATTATATAGGCCTCTGCTTGCCCACATTTGTCACATATATGCAGTCTGTGTAGATCTTTAAACTGAATCAGATAGTGCCTTGCACAGATAGCTTTGAATTAATAAAGCTCAACCCCTTGTTCCAGATGTCATCTGCTATTTCTGTCCCCAGTTCTTTCACGGAGCCCTTGTTTATACCGTCCATTTTTGCTTGTCCAAATTCTTGCAATATATCATATATAAATTAAATTGCATGTCCTTCCACTATACGGTCCTTCAGACAATCCAATCTAATTTATCAGGTGCCGCAGTCTCGAAATTGTGAATATAAGTCTTCACAAAGTATCTCACCTAAGGTAAAAATCAGTTTTTGGTAGCCCATACTACTCAAGAAACTGCTGAAATAGCGCAAATTTACCTTGTATGTTTTAGATCTCCAAAGCTATATAGCCCCAGTTCTCTCCAATGGTAGAAGGATCCGTCCATAATCAAGGGTGTAACAGATGGGTTTGCTGCTATTGGTTTCATGAAGGATATAGCTCTGAGTTTAAATTGCTTTGCTATTTGTGTCCAAATCTGGATAGTTCTTTGAATAACGGGGTTGTAACTACAGCATGCTTTATTAAGTCACCTGGGAGACATTACAATAGCACCAACTGAATATGGTAGGCAGTCCTCTCCCTCCATGTCCAGCCAGCTGGTGAGCAAAATCGTCTCATTCAGCCAGTAGGACATACAATGAATATTGGCCGCCATATAATAGCACATGAAATCTGGTAGCACCAGCCCCCCGTGTCTTATGTTTGCACAGGTGACCGTTCCAAATTTTGTGTGTCTTATAAATAAAAGAATCAGAAAATCCTTTTTTTTTTTTTTTTTTTAAATGACTGAGTAAGGTATAAAGGCAGATATTGAAAGAGATATAGTAATTGATAAATCATCTTGAGCATTCAATTTACCTATTAAGGAAATTGGAAATGTTCTCCAAAACTCAGATTTAGTCTTTGAATTTAGTCCAATATCGATATGAAATTAGCTTCAAGTAGAGAATTATACTTTTTTGTAACCTCAACCCCTAAATATGTAAATTTCTCTGTTTTCACTTTGAAGTGAATCTGCTTGAGGACTTCTGGGTCACTGTGATGTGTAGCATCAGTTCACTTTTATTCCAGTTTATCTTGTATAACGAAAAAGAGCTATATAACTCAGTTGTCTCCAGTAGTGTAGGTATGGAGGTCTGTGGGCTTGTTACGTCAAGAAAAATATCATCTGAATATAATTAAATTTTGTTTGATGTATATTCTGTATTATAACTCTGCATTTCCGTGTGTGACCGAATTGCTTCTGCAACGGGCTCCAATGCAAGTGCAAACAGTAAGGGACACCCTTGCCTAGTGCCCCTGTGTAGGTTAAATGGCTCTCAAAGTGTCCAGTTGGTGAGAATTCTAGCATTAGGATTGCTGTATAGCAACTTTCCCAGAATATAAATCCATCCCATAATCAAATTTTTCTAATACCACATACAGTTGAATACGACCACTATACACAATCAAAGGCTTTTTCTGTGTCCAAATGCAGGATAAACAAATCTTCCTAAGGGTGTCTGGGAGAATACATAATATTGAAAAGGTGTCTGAAGTTATGAAATGAACATCTGTCCGAGATAAACCCAGTTTAATCTGGGTGTATCAATATAGCTATGTGGAGGCTGAGTCTTCTTGCTAAGGACTTGGCCAAGATTTTCTGATCTGTGTTTAGTAATGACACTGGCCTATATGAGCCTGCCTGTTTCAAGGCACATCCTCTAACGTATGTTAGAGTGTCTCCCATAGCAGCATCAGTGAAACATCATCTATATCATTCGTTTTGAAAAGCTGCTTCATCTGAGTCTCCAAATATTCACAGAACTGTTTTTTTTTGTGTGTGAGTAAGGATCAAACCTCCAGGGTCTACGTGTATTTGTTGTCTCAAGCAGCTTCAGTGAACCAGAAACAGGATAGTGATCGGATATGAAATATTATGATATTTAATGTTATGCACACCTGGAAAAGTTTGCCATCAAGTACAAAATAATCTATTCTAGTATAAACATTATGAACCAGAAAGAGAAACGAGTACTCTCTATCTGCTGCGTTTAGGATTCTCCATACATCGTGTTATTAATATATGAATTTTAAAAAATTAGACACATTAGATGGTGCTGCTAGTTGGCTAGATGATCTGTCCAGATAAGTATCTAGAGCCACGTTTCCACCACAGGAACTTTCCCCAGGAACCTTTTGAGGAACTATGCACGTTTCGACCGCAGAAACCAGGATCTAAATTTAGTTCCAGGGTAATTAATCGACCCCAAAAAGGTACCTATTGGGGGGGATAGTACTTTCCAAAGGTCCAGGAACTTTGGGGATGTGGTCTGCAGTGTGGAACATTTTTGACTGGTCGAGTACTCGCTGCATTTTATTTCACCCGCGAAGTCTGCAGCGAGTGAGTGAGCACATTTTCCACACCGCAAAACAGGTCCGGGGGAGGGTAAAAAAACAGAAACAAAAAAATAAAGGACCACAACAACCGGAGTGGCTAGGGTTGCCACCCGTCACATATAATACAGGATCGTCCCGTATTTGAAAGTAAAATGCTGTGTCCTGTATAGGATTTAAAGCAATGGTGGAAACACCAGCACATTTGTCGATGCAGCAGGGCATTAATTATCAGGAGTGCCATGTGTTTGCGCTCAACGAGCGCTTCCCAGTCTCAGCAGAGCAGTGAAGGTACGTATTAGTGATGTGTCAGTTATGAACGAGCCGGCTCTTTTAAGTGAAAGATGGGAGCTGTGGAAGATCTTTTTCTTTTTTTGTAAATTAATGCAAGGCAGACCTAAGGAGGCAGCACCTCCTCCTCGAGGGATTGAACAACTACAGAGCAGTTATCTATCTTGTTCAGTGTTCAGAGACAGGAATCGATAAAGAATCGGATCGATAAGCAGAATCGATAATGGCCTTGGTATCAATAAAATCTTATCAATTCCCATCCCTAGTCCTGTATTGAATATATACAGGATGCAATTTGTCCCGTATTTTTGTTCATGTTATGTCCTCAAAGTGCTGTGAATAATGTAATGTCTAATAATTTTGCATAATCTTCCTGGGACTTTAGGCCACGGTGGAAACACAGACAACAATGGGCCACAGGAACCCTTTAGTTAGAAAAGTCTTTTCTTTGATTTTTTTTAGCTTAGGACACCATTAAAGTCAGCTCCAATTATCAAGTTTGTAGGAGAGAATCCAGAGTCAGGCTGAATACTTTCCTAAAAAATTCTGGGCCTTAAATGTTTAATAGTAGAAGTGGTGTGGACTATACCTTGCTTGAGATCAGAATATACCTCTCCTCTTTATCTGCAATTTTTAACTGATGTATAAATGGGACATTTCTGCGAATTGTTATAGGTACTCCCTTAGCCTTCTTCGCAAACCTGATGTGATAAATTTGACAATCCATCTGGCTCTAATTTTATCATGTGCTTTGTTTTTCAAGTGTGTCTCTTGTAAGAAAATCATATCTGCCTTAAATTCATTCAGGTGAGACAGTACTTTGCCTTCTTGTGCTGGCTTATTAATTCCTTTCACACTCCATGATCAGAAAGTCACATTTCCTCCTACTCCTCCCATATTACCTGTTTCAGTAGTCATAAGGACAGATTTTCCTGAAACATTTCCTGGTGCATTGCCACCCAGTGCTTAAAAGCTCCCACCTAAATAGTACTCCTCCTAACCTCTTTCACAGAGGCCTCTGCCTTCCCCCAGCTATTCATTGACTCTTCCTCGGTCACTGTCCTAAAAACCTGTCATGGTAGCTCCACACTCTTATACTAAACCCAAAACCACAATCAGTGTAATTTAACTGATCTAAAAATAGTCAAGTCTTTTTTTTTTTGTTTTGTTTTGTTTTGTTTTTTTATAAACACATTGTTCGTGTAAAAGTCAATAGACAAAAAAAAATTTATAAATTAAAGGTCAGTCATTTAACTCAAAATTCCTCCCTGACTGTCCTTTGCTCTTGTGTGTCTTTAACAGCCTCTCATTATCAGATTTGAGGTATAGGCTTGTGTAATATATTATTTCTGCACTTCTCTATGAGGCAATATAACTAAATAAGAATTAAGTGTAGTTAAACAATGGTTAAATTAAAATAGCCCCCACGTAGGAAGGTTAAGTGTATGTATGTTAAATTTAGGCCAGCTCAACATACTAAGCCCTTGACCCCTTATCAAGAATACTAATACTTTGGAAAATGTATAACCATATACTGTTGGTAGGCTCAAAAAGTTCAGACCCGCTCAGCCTAATAAGTCATAACCCATTGTGAAAACAATAATAATTACAGAACGTGCCATTAAAATTTTAACATAGGTAATAACCTACGGCCCGGGCTATTCTTTCATGGTCACCTGCTGGAGGATATTGTTAGAGTCCCCCTTCATGCTTGTATGACACTCTTAGCTTGGCTGAATATAGAAGTATATCTGTCGCGTAGCTCCTGGCTGATGTGAACGCAGCTTGGCGCCTGACCACTTCAGGTGGGAGGTCTCTTACAAGAACATAAATTGATTATTTCCATTTTAAAGGCTTTAAAAATAAATAGTGGATTGATTGAAAATATATTATTAGTTTAATGAATGTTTCTGTTTCTATGCAAACATCCTAAATAAAGAAACCACTATCCATGCATAATTCTATATAATAATTAATTTTACATCAATAATAATCCAATAGTAAATATAACATCTTTTGGTTCTTCTACACTTCTGTAAGTATAATAGTGATAAGACAATATAAAGGAATTTCCCGCTAAAATCTTGAGCATGAATAATGGATTTGAAATGTGTGCATAAAAGTGATGATTTTTTTTGTGCACACAAGATGTGTATACTTGCATCAAATTGTTTCACATTAATAGGTAAATGTTTGAAGAGTTCTTTAACAGGATGTAGAATATCCAATGTTACAGCAGAACCACAAGACATTTGTTCCATTTAGAATGGATGCAATTTAAAAACAAGGAAATGTCAGAGCGACACCTTCACGCACTCAGTCCCTCACACACATACACACGTGCATGCATACTCACACACACACTATACTACCTGATTGGTTGAGGGGAAGTCAAGGCCTGCTTCTGGCATACTCCTGAACATGGCGTCCCCATCCAGCTGGAGGAAACAAAAGGCAACAGCAACAATGTCAATAATTTGTAACACAGCCAACACAGAACAGTCAATAAGGACACAATAAGTGGAGATGGAGGCAATAGATTACTGGGTAGCAGCCAGTCCACTCTCTGTGTGCCATCTCCTTCAGACACTGAAAATTCTACCACTGGCCTGAGTCATAAGTGGGAAAAGGTTGTGATCAGACTTACAGTGCCACGGCAAAGGTCTAACTACTTTTTTTAAATGAGATATTTCCATAAATTGGCAAACATTTCCAAAATGCTTTCACTTTGTCATAATGGGTTATTGAGTGTAGACTGATACAAATTTTAAATTAAATCTATAACACAGTACATACACAAATACATCTAATGTTGTTAAGTAGTCAGGTGTTTCTGTGTTTCACTTACAGTGGGACTAGTATTGTATGGGGACCATAACTAATTAATAACTGACTTTCCCCAGTGAGGATAATAAAAACACTGACAGGTTTGAAGAATATTAGGTATGGGGGATATTGACCAAAAATCATATCTATGTATATTGAGGCTGAATGGCAATAAGCTATAGATATCTCTGTATCTTCTCTCTCTGAAGTTTCTCTGAAGTGGCCTAAATGTTCAGACAAGCACTTTTATTAAAACACGCTGATAAAATGCGAAGACAGTGTTTCCTTCCCTGTTTGGAAATATACAGCTATATTAAATAAAAATAGACCTATCTCTAAGAATGCTCATTCAGTAACAATAGCAAACTGATTTAAATACAGTACAATTAGAGGATTTCCTCTCCTGCTTAAACCCACTTATAATCATGACTAAAACTATGTGTACGCACAAAATCAGAAAGATACATACATATTCTTTTTGTTAGAATTATAAAGACATGTGTTTGCATGGTTAAGCTTTATTAATCTTACTTACTGAGAAATTGAGCACACGTGCACAAGCCTCATTTCCACTCCCACAATTAGCCATAACTGGATGAAGACACGCCTTTAATCAAACAGTTTGCATAGAAAAACACTGTTTCCACCACAACTTATCAGACACAGAGAAATGAGAAAGAAGCATAATTTCACCAATAGTGAAAGGTGTGACGATGATAGTGAATAGTGAAGGGTGATAGTGAGAGGTAAAAGTGTTCAGCAGTTTACTTTAGAACAATCACTCTAATGTAAAGTCCTGTTTTACTCTGAACTATTGGGACTACAGACATCTTAATGAGGCTCCACACAGGCTCCAAAACTGCGATTAGTAAATATTACTATTAATATCACAATAAATAATAAGGAGATTAAATGATTATAAAGGGAACATTGAGCATTGTGATGGCCGCACAAGGAATGATGGTAACTCTTTTCATTTGTTTATCTACTTTAAGAGTCTTTCTTTCTTAGCAAAAACCACATATGCAAACAGATAAAAAAAATTATACACAGGCGTTGGTTTGGTTTGGTTTTATTAGCAATACTTGACAGCATGGTTATCTATTTGGCATGGACACATTTATTTAACTTTTTTGTCAATTTAGTTGAATTAGTTTAATAAATTTAAGTTGTTTGTCATGGTATTAAATTAATTAAGTTTTCTTTGAGTTACCAGTTCCTGGGGGTTGCTGCTGGAGTGGCCGGGCTGGCCACCAAAAGGAGTCCTAGCTCCATCAAGCCTGCTTTAACGGGGACTGATTGCTAATTGGACTGCACCATGTTCCTCCAGCATCATGGGAGGGGGCAGTGTCTTTATTAGGGCCCAAGCACCGAAGGGTGCGAGGACCCTATGGAAACTGTAGGTAGGGCCTGAGCACCGACAAGCAGTGCAAGGACTAATATACTGTATATAAAGGTAGGCTACGAGTTTGAGTTGGTGTGTGCACTGCACTGTCTGTCAATACCAGGGCTCAGTACCCATCCCTACTCATATGCTCATATTCAGTGATACTGATAGCGCCCCCTTTTGGAAACAAGAAGTGTCATGTTTTACACCATGATATACTGCTCATAGCAGGTTGATCGAATCTTGATCCAAACATGGTCGGGAAATGCTTAACAACTTGATGATGCACCGTAGTCAAAACTGTGACTTTTTGTGGAACAGCATGCCTGTGGTGGCGTGATGAATTTTGATCCTTCGCCATGAAAATTCAACTCACTATAACTCCAGCATGCATTGTCCAAACAGCCCCATAATTTTTAAATGTGATAAGAGCCCTGCCCTGAACAGACCTATATGTCCATATTTAGTAATACTCATAGCGCCACCTCATGGCACCATGTGATATTATGATTTACTTTTCATTTATTATTCCTAGTGAATTGACTTGGTGCTCAAAAAAAGGTCAGAAAATTTTTTTTCAAGATGCTGATGTCAATATTGAGTTTTCACTGAAGGGCGCAATTCAAAGATCATTGTTGGTTCATTCTCATCTTCAGAACCGTGCAATGCTACATTGCAGAGCACATCTACATGTTCAGATTTAGTAATACTCATAGTGCCACCTAATGGAAATATAGGAAGTGGTTATAACTCTATGATACTTTGTCCAATCTTCCCCAGATTTTACATGTTTGATGACAGTCTCACACTGAAGACATCTGCATACTAATATAACACTATAGTCACAGCGCCACCTACTGAAAATAGGATGTAACTCTTATGTGAAAAACCTTTAAATCTTTCCCACTGCCACACAGTCTGTTCAATAAATCTTAACCTGTGAGCGCAGTGTCCAGTGGTCGTTACGATGTGCAACTGCTACAAATGGCATGCTGCGAGCCCCCTCACGTTGTGCAGGAGTGCAAGGGCCTGATCTACACTGCTTGCAGCTTTAATTTGTTTAGTATTTTTCCTCAGTTGATATGGTATAGCACTATGCTGACATGTTTTGTCATTATCGTAGTTTGTTTAAAAGGTTATGTTTTGGCCTATCCCTGCGTGTATCTGAATGGCCTGATCAGCCACTATATATGTTCTCCCCTTTGTTTCAGTCAGCAGGTCAGTTTTGTGCTGTTAAGTTCGCTTCAGTTAGTATTTCAGTTTGGTTCGGTTGCATTGACGTTTTTATGGGCCCTGAATTATAGTTTTTAAGCATTTTTTGACATTGCTTTTCCTTTTTGTAAAAAAAAAAAAAAAATGGATATCAATTTTCCAAAGATCTGTGTCTCTGTGGTCTATCTGCTGTATACTATTATAATATTTCTGTTTATGAATTGTAAAGTTGTCATTGCTCTGTAAATGGAAAAACTTATAATGATGATAATTAAGGAAGCTCTGTGAAGTTGGTTATTTTATTTTATGTTAAATTATGTGTGAGGGCTGCTCGATTATGGCAAAAATCATAATCACGATTATTTTGATCAATATTGAGATCACGATTATTCAACATGACTTCTCATTGACTTTGGGGAAAAAAGTGATTTCAAAACAAAAAGCAATGTAGTTTGTCCTGTTATACACAATATAAGTTAAAGATATCTGAGATACCTGAGATCACCTGTGTTTCTGTCCTCTCATGAAAAAGACTGAACCACACTTCAAAATGATTAGTTGTCTCCAAAGACAATAAGAGCAGGGTCTGTGTGTGTGTTGCATGGTGCTCCAAGGTGTGTGAGAGCGCTACCCCACCCCTCACACAAAGGGTCAGAGAGAGAGATGCAGATGAACTTCTGCGTAGGAAACAGCAAAAATGCATCATCATCAGAAACGGAGTTTGTGAATATGCAAGAGAACTGTTGCAATAACAAATACGAAATCTATTTTCCTAATTTCTTCAGTAACGAGAGTGGAACCGATAACATCGGATGGTTTTTGTAGCGGGGATGAAATTTGTTGTGAAACAGAATGTAGCACAATAATCGTTTTCTCTCGATTATCTTGTTTCTATAATCGTTGGAGGCCAAAATCATAATCGACAGTAAAATTCAGTTAATTGCCCAGCCCTTTTATGTGTCTTGGCTTATTTTGTATTTTCACTTCACGGTAATTTGGATCACTCTGGAAAACTGCACACGCATGGTCACAGGAATGTATGAGGTGACAAATTCTGTGTTTATAAATACCAATTTATGTCAAGGGAATGGCAGACACATGGTTTTTGTGTGTACATATCACTGCATCTGGCCTCAGATCTTCAGCATTTCCCACAGATTGAAAATTCACTTGTGGTGGTTTGTGGCGTGAGACTGATGTGTACGCAGAGACTTGTGCAGTTTAGAACAGAAAAGTGTAACCCATCTTATTTTTTGTAGCTACAATTTACCAATGTTCTCCAAATTCCTCAAATACAGGCTTTTAGCAGATGTTAGCTAAGCAGCTGTGCATTGAGAAGGCTCTAGTCCCTACTCAGTTACTGCAGAGCACGCAACTCAGACAGGTGTGTGGCCTGTGCATAGGAAACACTGGGTTTTCTTCAGCAGTGTGAACTGGCACTGTGTCTCCCTCCATGTTGCAGAACATTTGAGCGAGTGGGGCTGACAGAGGGAAAGTGGGGGCAGGGCTGTGCGGAGAGTGCGAGAGAGGAAAGGTAAACGGTATTGTTCTACCTCAAAAAATCAAAATACACTGCTCAGCCCTCGATATTGTGGAGTAAAACAAATTCCAGCTGGAATCACAGAGAGAACCTCACCGTGGTGCATTGTCTACATAGGATGTCAGACAATTCAATAACAAATCACACACAAGAGATCACAAGAATTCAGTTCACATAGATTAAACTAGTTCACATTCACAGTTCCCAATTCTGAAGTTCACAGTCCCAAAAAATGATCTAGTTCACATTTATTTCTTGTGTATTTTTTTTATGAGATCCTGTTCTTTTTCAGAAGAACCTCCTCCTGCCTGTCCATCCCCAGCCCCCAGTCATTGCAGAAAAGACCCCACAAACAATGAGCTCTCTCCTTAAATGTCTGGGGTGGTTAAGATTGAGAGACAGAGTCTTGTCACCTGGTGGTCGGCCTTCTCCCAAGAGTCTGGAGCACAATCACTACAGGGACAGTATGTATG